GTGACGGTTCCTTGGAGAGCTGCCATATGACTGACACCCGTCACTGGATGATAAATGACTCCATTTTCTGCCTCTCTTGCCTTCTGCCACTCCAAGAGAGGGTCGTTTATCATAATCTCTGTCAGCGAGGGAAAGTAGCCCTGACAGTACAAGTCAGCAAACATTTAGCACACGGAACCATGCAACGCACGGAAATTATTATTGTCAGAATAATAATGGTTTAGCATAATTTATTACGGGTCCACCAAATAAGCAAGGGATAGATGTTATTAGACAGATGGATGGGTAAAGCTTGGCAGGCATCCACTCAGGATCAGGCAACGCTTGATAAGGGGAGGGGGGTAGAGCGGAGGGGAGGGAGGTGGAGGGGTTTACATCTTCCAAACCAATCACCGGGCTGGCAGTTCAATTACAAAGAAATAAAGGGACATTCATCATTCAATTAAGCACCTGTCAAGCTTCACAAAGAAGGAAACTTCTAACCTGGTACTCCTGGGAGAAGATGCTCAGCAGAGTGGACTGCGATTGACTGGAACAAAATAAAAGATGGACAAAGTTAATTACTGGAGTGCATGGGGGGAGACAAAAGGCTAGTCAACTTCAAAGGTAGGCCCCGCTGCCCTGTAATCTAAGAAAACATGAAAACAAGTACGCAAAAGTTGTTCCAGACAGACACCTCAGACAAAGGCTAAGTCAAGAAACAGGCATGCAGGGATGAAGGAAAAGCAGAGAAGAAGCAGGAAAGTTTACAAGAGATGAAGTAGGAAGAGAGAGTGTTGGTGAGGAATATGCAGCAGATATAGCAGCCTCATGTGTTGCCAGGATCTCCTTTCACTTTCCTGGCCCACAGAGCTGTATTAGTGGCATGTCCTGCTGGTAAAACACAAGAAGCAGGAGGGAGGGGGACTGAAAGGAAAACAGAGTACATTTCCTATTAATAATGGATGGAAATTCAGATCCATTAGCAGTTGGGAACATGCCGCTTAGCTCATTGGCAACATATTGAAATTCATTTTGTGAGCAGTCAGGGAAACCTCTTTGGTAGCTGTGTCTTATTAAAGGATAGGATGAAAAAAATTCTGGGAGGGGGATAGAGGGGACTTAACTCAATGTCAGTAGCAACATATGGGACTCCAACATTCCCACTGAAACTGATGGTCTTTGAAAATAGAAACTTTCTCTGCAGGAGGCTCCTTTTCCTTAGAGTCGGTCATTTCCAAAGCTTCATCCATCCACTACTCAACTCAGTGTCAAGCACCTGGCAATGAAGCTACATAGAAAACAGCTCTTCCAACAGGGATTTCCTCTCCGCCTGTATCTCATTTCTCTCTTTCACTTCTCAGCATGATGCATGGTTAACTCTTTACGCAGTAAAACAGAACATCAACAAAGCCATTCAAGGACAATTTAACTCCAGCCGGCAGTTCACAGGTTATCTCCGAGACATGGGACAGTTCGTACCTTTTTTTGTTTTGTTTATATCTCTATAGGTTGAACTCGATCGACATGTGTATTTTTTCAATCTGACTAACTATGTTACTATCTCCAAGTTCTCATGCAGATCGATAAATATGATTGTTACTGTTTCTGTTCAATTGTTCTCTGTGGATCTCTACCCCTCACCCCATTATTAAACAAAAATGAATTACTTCTGATGTATATAACTGACCCAAATTACAATTACAATAAATCTGTTTTGCAGTATGCCATATTAACATATTCTGATTTTCTCTGCATTAACTGAAATGATACTTCTTTTTTTTCTACAGGCAATACCATTTGCAAACAAAACACTACAGAAGCACATTCTTAGATTAATTATCTTGTAAGGCAAGTTTCATTCCTTACCAACACGTCTGACAAAATAAAAGGGTATTCAACATTACTCAGACCACATCAAAGGCTCACTTTCTCATTTTGCCAGACAGCAATTAAACACCCTTTGGGATCTTCTGTGTGGTCAAACAGATTGTATGATACACAGCAGTACAAAGATTATTATATATCTAGAAAAATAAATGAAAAAAAAATATCAATAATTACAGAGTTTTGCTATAGACTACTATGAATTACTTCTTACAGAGAGTAGAGATTTCGTGGGATCGTTTATGAGATTTATTTGCTAAACACTAACAAAGAGCAATGATGTGCTGTAACCCACAGCAATCAATTAGTATACAACTTACATTATTTGCCACTTTACCGTTATTCCTAAACTGCATACAATTGCTCCTTGCTACAGATTAAATTCATAAACTAAATATGTTAAGATGGCCATGCACATTTACACACGGAGGAGAATTTATAATCAAAATATAACAAAATATGAAGCTAACTAACCGCAACATTTTATCTCTGTTAAGCATCTTTTTTTAAGTGATCTTGTGACATATTCATGTTTGTGACTCACTGCATATGTTTTGCTACATTTCGCATAATTTCTCAACTGCGCAGTAATTGCACCCAGCATTTGCAACATTAAACACCTTCCAAACTGACGTACATTCTAGAAGTCCTCCTGAGTACTTCTTAAAGTATTGCAAAGATAATTATTTTGTCATCCAGGAAGTTCCCTGCAAGTTTGCGACAGTTTAGAGCCTGGGACAATTCAGAGACAATTCTCTTTATGAAGGTATTTACGAATGAAACATAAACTAGGATAATAAATCTGTCTCTATATGCACTAGAAATTTGGGATACAACAGTTTAAAAGTTGCACACAGTGCAACAAGATTGATAAACTCTCCCCACAGTGTCTTTACCTACCCAGCCCCATTGGATTTTCCTGGAGGTTATAAAGGCCTTTATTTACTTGATTAAGACGTGCAAAGCTATGACATGTTAAATGTGAAAATGTTTACATTTTAACACACACAAATATATATAGATGCCAGCATCATTGAACAACTGTGGCAATTTCCATAAACCCGTACAGTGATGGAATATGTTTTCATCCCTTTAGATTTTTTTCCACATTTTATAATATTACAAGTTGTATGTTTTTATGTTATTGACCTTTGCAAAACAGCCCATAATTTTGAAGTGGGAAAAAAAAACTATTTCCAGAAGGCCCCAAGTTTGTCAGAACATATCTATATATATGTAACACCATAAAGACCAAGTAACTATCAAAACAAGTCCATCCCCACCAACCAGAAACAAAATTCAAACCACAATCCACCTGCCTGAGCTCCTTCCTCTAACATGGGTGAAATGAATTTAAGGGAGGAGCTCAGGCTGGTGGATGTGATGTCTATCCTAAATAAAATTTACACAGAGTTCTTTTGGAGTGTGGTATTAATTTATTTTCTATGGGATCACCTGGCTGGTGAGGACAGACTTGCAATCATTTCGGCACCCGCAATGAAGAGAAGTACAGACCTGGAGCAGAGTATCTGGCTTTGCAAACTGTGCCCAGCAATGCAAGGAGCGGCACTGATGTGATGAAGTCAAGATAGAGAAGTTGAACCCCTTTTTTACAGGCTAGAGGCTCCATGGTCAAGTGGAGGCTGGGGTACATTTAATTATTACCATAGGTAATTTGTACCTTGTGATGCTTGCATTTCAGCATTATTTTGTTACTTGGCCAATGCAAGTTCAATTTCAAAATATATTGTTTTTAAATGAGGAGCTGCCGATATCACTAAACACAACCAAATTGAAGGAAATCAGTGAAACAAATTTTGAGTTATTATAAAATTATTACCTTAGAGCACATTCTGTATAATTTTGGCAATGCTGTGCCATATTTCAACTATTAAATTGAATATGCAGATTTGTAGATCTTCTGTCCAGAAGCTCAATTTGTTTCACTGTCTGACTCCTTTTTAGCAGCTCGTGACCTGAGAGGCATATTTGCTTAGAAGGAACAGTAAGGCACACTCAGTGTATCACCACTGGACAAGAAGTATAACTTGCATACAGTATGTAAAAGAAAATATACCTGTTCCCATGTTTGCAGCCACCCTTCTACAACATTCTGTTAAATAGCTGCACAGCATACTTGCAGAATCCTTAACAGCAAGCTGATATTTTTTGCAGATAAAACATACTAAATGGCCACACAAAAGTTAAAATCCCTTTGCATTCAGCTGGCAGTAATGCTCTGTTCACATCTTTGCCTTAAGTGGATCGCGAAAATGGTGTGTTGTAAACACACTGGGGGGAATTTACCAAAACTGGAGCAGACAAAATTGGAAAAAATTTGGACTGCGATCAATCAGCGTGTCTCTCTCATTTTCAAATCTTACCTGAGCAAACTGAAGAGAGATGCTGATTGGTTGCCATGTGCAACTGCTCTAGATTCCGTCTGCTCCAGTTTTGATAAATTCCCCCCATTGTGCTTTTTACATGTGTGGCCACTGAACTCTATATAGCACATTTTTTTCTAAAAATCACATCAAGGGTGCAGCAAGCAGGACTTTTTTTCAACACACCTAAAGCATGCATATAAAACAGAGCATGGGTAGCATAGGAATACCTTAAAAGGTTTGTTTTTACAAAGAAAAATGTTTCAGTTTTGCTATATTTACACCATGGTTAGAATATGCCGTGCAATTGCTGAAAGCAGAACAAATACTCACATGCGCCACTATAAACATATAGCACAATTTAACACGGCACTAAAACACAATAAAAAATAATGCCAACAACCTCCTGCCAAGTGAATCCTCAAACACAACCATGCCAAACCTGTGTTCGGAGGGCATTATGATTTTATAACTGTACTAGTTCATTAGAGTATTTTAAATAGATTCCTGTTGGGGCTGTATGCTAAATCAAATAGGGGAACATATAAATTATATCTAAGTTTATTATTTACAACCAATTAATTATTTTTTTAAAGCCAGGTGGCTTTCATTAAGTTAATTACTGCTAATGACATGTGCCTCATGCTGTTTTAGTATTTAGCATAACCATGTGTCAAATGTGCGTAGGAGTGCAGAACTGTCTTCTTGGGGGCATAAGTGCTCCGTCAAGCTTGGTGTGGGACAGGCATCAAAAGGAGCAGCAGAGCGTGGAAATGTATTGAGATAAATATGTATGGTGGTTGGCCAGTGGGAGACTTGCAAGTGAAACCAGCTGAACAGGATATCCCCTTTTGTTACCCAACTGTACTAAAAATATTAACTGAGAGGTGCCAGTGCATATGTTAATGTAACAGGCCAATGTAGATCAACGTTTTAGTGGCAAAGATATGACACGTCCTACAGAAAATGAAGGCGATTTAATGAATAGTGCTACAGTCTATTTCAGCATGATTAATGATCACTACTGAGCCAAACAGAATAAATATCATCTCATATGGGAGTCATAAGAAGGAAGGGTTAGCTAAAAGGGACAACTATTCTGGACTGAAAGCACAATTTGGCAAAGTGGATTATGTAAACTGAAAAAAAAAGTGTATGCCGTCAAGAACCCGCCACTGTGTAGTGTTTTTTTTATCAATTGTAAACACTATTTTTACATCAAGGCATAAGACAATTCAATTGACCTTTGAGTGGAAGTTGAAAGAAACGTACATAAAGG